TTGGTCTTGGGTTTTTCTTGCTTGATCTGAGTACCCCACGTTTGCTGACGGAAGCCTCTTTGCTGGCCTGTCGCGGCACCAATGATCGCTCAGGTTCCATCCCTATTGGCCCTAGCGCCTATGCTCGAGAGCAGCAGTCGTATGTGCGCCGATGAATTTTATTTTTTCAAGAATTATTCATTGTTTTTATCAAGAACTGTTGAACGCAATTGTAGAACACAATCGAACGTGCCGCGGACGTCGTATGTGTAATTTCCGTTGGTTAATAAAGTTGTGACACCTAAAATACTTCTGCTGCATGTTCTTAATACATCTGAAATTCTAGGACGCTTCGTACTTTTTCATAACAAATAAAGTAAAACTCTGCATTAGTCATCAGCCGTCAGTTGACCAGCTAGACCAGCCGGCTAGCTGTAAATAAGCTGGGAGTGGGAGTCAAATTCGCGCTTGAGTTTAATGATATTGAACAGTAATCTTTTTGTCTACTTTGGTATGTTTTTCCAAAAAACTTAGCCTCAAAATGAGAGAATTCACCATGGAGAAGGGGAAAACGAATAAGCTCCATGAACGTGCATACGTATCGCGCTTGGTATTCTAAGGCTGCGCATAGTAAGATCAATTCCCAATTACAAAATGAATGAGAATCGTAAAATTCAATGGCCGGAATGCAAGGACTTTTTATTGCAAAGGACCCTAAAACCTAGGGAGCCCCACAATGTTGCGGGCCCCCCCCCCCCCTACACCTGACGAAGTCCTGGATCTGCTTCTAAGTACAGATCACAAGACAGTGGCTATCTCCGGACCAGAACAGCCCTCCGGCCTTTGGTGCAGGTGCACTCGGATCACCGCTGCCGCTAAGACTGACGCTCAACCGCCACTCGACCGCCGTTGTGGCACTTACGTAAATGAAACACGTCGCTATTAGCACGCGCAGGTTCCGCACGCGACCACCAAGTTGCCACCGCCATCAAACGACCCAGCGCGGCGGCTGCACAAGGGGAGAGCGGCAGTGGCGGCCATGCACGCGCCCCTCGCCTGCTGCCATCTGTCCCCTTCAAGCTGCCTGTGTTGCCTGCCGAAGAGCCGGAACTCAGTCACCACCCAGGTGGCCTTCGTTTTCAGGATCGTCGGAACCGAAGATGACGTCAGGAAGTTCAAGCTGTTGTTGGCCAGCCTCCGATATGCATAGCAGCGCAAGCGACGGACATTGTCGTCTCCAAGCCCGGCCCCTTCGTCGCCCCCTTCATGGCGGTGCGACAGTGCCCACCGCGCCCGCTAGCATGACTGCTAGCCAAGCGTCACTGTCAGCACTCCGGCACTTCAGCACTCCAGTTGCCGCCACTCCTGCAGCTGCCGTCCTCGACGTCAGCCCGCCGCAGGTGCATGTGCAGCCACCGCTCGGTACCGAACCTCCGCGCCTGCCCCTCATGCCGCTATACCCAGCCTGACCGTCGCTGTGCCGTGAATCACAGACCGGAGCGCCACCGGCGATCGCCGACCACGGTCCCCCCACCGCGGACCTTACCCACGCCGACGCACGTCGGGGCCTGGCGCTCCCGCCGCTCGCTCTGCGCCGGCGAGTCGGACGATCCGTGACGCCAGCCTGCAGCTTGATAGTTCTGGTGCCAGGGGTGTTGCTAGTAGCAGGTGCCGGTGTCACTGCTGTCAGAGGTGTCACTTTTTATTTAAAATCAGTTGGGCAGGGGGTGAGGTGGTAAGGTTAACCAAGCCTCCCCAAAGACCCGATTTCTCCTCGGATTTCGGACAATTTAAGTTGCTGCCCCAAAGTTAACTTGGAAAAACTATTCCGTTCGCAGTTGTCTTGCAGCTGACGAGCGACTTCTCATTTCAAGGCGATGGAAACCTCCATTGTTGTGAAAATCTTAGCGTGGGGTGTAATTCGCAAGAAGCGTCTTAGTTATTTAAGCCCCTGCGATCAGCAAAATAAGTTTGCTCATCGTTCATCAGCGGTGGTTTGAGGCACAACAAAAACAGTTTTTCCCTAGGGTGGCGCGGGCTGACACCCCCAACGCCTTCGAATGCATTGCCACAACGTATATATATATATATATATATATATATATATATATATATATATATATATATATATACTATTTCACAACCCAAACTTAACCGGTGCGACTTATCCACGGACATATAAATAAATAGAAAGCCAAAGCAAATAAAGATCGGTGACTGAATGCACCTCCTGCCCGCGTGCCTGTGCTTCTGTGAAACTTGCTACCGACTGAAATGGCTTGCGAGCCGAGTTAGCTGTCCCACTAATGATGAGGCAGCGTCAGACGGCAGGATGGACCGAGCGCTGGGGCACTTCTCGTCACAAAGTTCTGTCATTTACCCGGGTTTTGCAATCGTGTCAGAGCTCACCAAACAAGCACTACTTAGCTGCCCTGCTTCAGGGCTATCGAGCGTGTGGCAGTCCTGAAGCGGTGCTATAAGAGGCGCGCGGTAGCACGCGCCCAACAGGGTTGCAACTATTTTTAGAACACTGTCGAAGTTTTCTCGCTGCGCTCACAGCGGTCGCCCGCCTTTCGTCAATATGCAAAAGGACACTTATACATGAAAAATAAATGCTGGCGGTCTGTCCCAACTGTTAAGTGTTTCCCGGAATCACTGCTGTCAAGCACGCATGGTCCTATTCTCTTCGCGAACGGAAAGTGACGCCACAGACGTTTACCGGCATTGTTTCTGCGACATCTCGCCGATCATCGCGCGACAGCCGCAGCGCCGGGCCCAGCTACCGGTGCCTGCTTCAGATGAGCACCTCCCAGTGCATGATTGAATACGGACGGTCGTTCACCGCCTAAAATACCGCAACGCTTTCAAAACACTTCTAATCGCGCGCGGGGAGCGTAGGACCTCCCAGTCGTGTACTCACAGCCGTGTGCTCACAGCCATGGTGTGCACCACCGTGTACTCACAGCTGTGTGCTCACAGCCGTGGTGTACACCACCGTGTGCTCACAGCCGTGTGCTCACAGCCATGGTGTACACCACCGTGTACTCACAGCCGCGTGCTCACAGCCGTGGTGTACACCACCGTGTACTCACAGCCGTGTGCTCACAGCCGTGGTGTACACCACCGTGTGCTCACAACCGTGTGCTCACAGCCGTGGTGTACACAGCCACAGCTCACAGCCGTGGTGCGACGCCAAAACGTCGGGTCTAGCGACTTCGCCTATTTTGTTTGACGTGACCCGTTCGCGGTGAATTACTGAATGTGTATAGCCGCCTGGCGCCTGTGGCACAATTGATAAGTGGCAGCTTTCAACACAAGCCGGAGCCGGAATATCAAGATATGTTGTTGTTTTGTGGCCATCTGTTCCACTTCCAACGAGGAATAAGACCAAATGCTCTGAGATATATGTATTCTACCTCGCAGCTGCTTCGAACAACTCACAAAGAGGCAGTCACGGAGGAAGAAAAGCGGATATCCGCGGCCGTCTACTAGCACGTGAAGGTAAGGCTTGACGCACAGTATCAAATCATCAGAAGTATAAACTGCCTAATCAAGTGTCATACTTAAACCACCGATACGACGACGTGAATGCTCACCACACAAGCATGACGCCAAACGGAGCAGATACACTGTTTTTATGGAGGTGCAGAAAAAGCCTACGATGGCTATTAAAAGAGCGCAGCTCCGTCTTGGCTGGTCATGTTGCGCGCCCCAGACGGCTTCCGTGGGCCAGCTGCGTCGCCCGTCTGCCAGACGGCAGCGCGGGTGGCAGCTGCAGCAGCATTGACTAAACTCAGCGTTGCCACGCCCTGCCAAAAAGGTCAGACGCCGCATGAATATTGCACCGGGACTGGGTCGGCGCCGTGACGAGCGCGGCTTGTGATGTGGGCTGAGCTGTCAGGTTACCGCCGGCAGGGGCGGAGGCAGGGGTGGAGGCAGGGGCGGAGGCAGGCACGGAGGCGGAGGCAGAGACAGGGACGGAGGCAGGCGAGGAGACAGGGCCGGATGCAGGGATGGAGGCAGGGGCGGAGGTAGGGGTGGAGGCAGGGGCGGAGGCAGGCACGGAGGCGGAGGCAGAGGCAGGGGCGGAGGCAGGCGTGGAGGCAGGGGCGGATGCAGGGGTGGAGGCAGGGGCGGAGGTAAGAGCGGAGGCAGGGGCAGAGGCAGGGGTGGAAGCAGGGGCGGAGGCAGGGGTGGAGGCAGGGGCGGAAGCAGACGCGGAGGCAGGAGGAGCAGGAGGCTTTCTAGGAGCGCGACTATCATATCGTTGTCAACCGAGGCAGAGGAGGCCCGATGACTAGTGTAAAAGGGAGGTGGGGGGCGGTGCTGTCAAACGGTCGCCAGCAGGGATAAAGGCGGATTGAAGATCGCTGTTACGTGGGCGGAGGTAAACGCGTTAGCGCCCAGCTCACCAGCAGGCGTGCCTTAACATCAGCACATTCGTGTTCCCGTGCACGTAACCCTGCTGACACCGCCATGTACCCCGCGCCGCTGGCTGCGCGACTGCCGTGCTGCGGCAAACAGCGGCCGCTGATTTATTTGTGGCATGTCGGCGGCGGCGCGAGATTGGCCGGGCACGGGTCGACACCGGCCGACTAACCCGTGCCGTCCCGCGCCGGCAGCCGACAGCGGCACGTGCCGCACGCGCCGCAGTCGCGCGCGGAGCCGCGCGAGGCTGGGAGCGACCGGCGGCACCGGGCGTCTGCTGTGGCGGTGCGCTCCGAGCCCGAGGCTGACGCGGTGCGAGGGCACGTCCGAGGGCACGTCCCGGCCGGTCTCAGCCGTGCGTCCGGGGGAAGGCGGCGGCGGGGTGGCAGCGGTGCACGCTTGTGAGCTGACGGTCTCGTCTGAGGTTTGAGGCGCCTGGCATCGGCCGCCGCCGGACGTTATCGCCGCGCGAGGCTGTGACTCGGTAGCCGCGCGCCCTCCGGCGCCGCCGCGCGGCTGACACTCCCGCGACCGGCGACGGACGAGAGCTCACGCCGCCGCCACCGCGCCAGCGGCGCCAGCAGTCAGCCGCCATGAACAACATGAACCTGTCCAAGCTGAGGGCCAAGCCGGAGGAGGGCCAGCCGTTCTGGAGCGTGTCTGGCATGGGGCTGCCGGGGGAGAAGCGGAGCCGTCCCGGCCAGGCCAGCGGCGGCGGTAAGGTGAGGCCCCCGCCCCGGGCAGTCCTCGGTGGCATACATCGCCGGTCAGTTCAGCGTGGGAGCGCTGACGATGCCCCCGCCCGCCAGTGCTGGGTCAGCAGCGAGGAGTGCCGTCGTCCAGCCGGCAGGTCTCTGTTAATCTTACGCATCAACCAAAGTCCTTTAAGCTGCCATGGCGGACGGCGGCTGAGACAGGCCCGCGGTGAGCAATAAAGAATCCCAGTAGCATTATCCCAGGATGATGACCGGAGCAAGCAAATGGACTCGTTCAGAGACAGCGCTTGTTTGAGCCACAATGACAAGACCTTTTCCATGCGAGAAATGTCAGCCCATGGCCGTGAACGGTGCGAGAGCTCCACAGTGCCGATTTGACAAAAGAATATATGCCGGCCAGGGTGTCACGACTGCCCACACACGGTGGCACGCCAAGCGTCCCCAGAACAGGTGCTCACCCGCTGAAGGTCCTGCGCGTGCCGCGTGCTCACGACTCGTGTGTGAAGATGGCGCCACGGTCGGCCAGCGGTTCCCTAGCAGCTTCGGCTGGCTCGGCCTGTTTGTTGGATTTAATTGAATCGTCGCTGCGATCGTAATCATAACCGTTGGTCTGTGATCAGGGTCGAGGCCCCAGGGACAGGACTGTTCTCAGCGCCACAGCGTGCTAACTGGCTCCATTTTTCCATTCCGTAAATCTGATGCGCCGGGGAGGAAACCTAAAATTTGGGTCAGATTTGTATCCCGACCGGAATGGATATAACGGTTTCAAAGCAAATGTACGGTTTTTACATTATTTCATCTCCGATATATCACAAATTGCCTCGTCCATGTGTCACACATAACAGAACAGCCAATACAGAGCCAGGGGCAGGTTTTGGACAGAAGCACGTTCGGAAAAATATGCATGTGCACAGGGGCGGGTCCAGGAACGGGGGGGGGGGGGGTAAAGGGGCTATATATATATATATATATATATATATATATATATATATATGTGTGTGTGTGTGTGTGTGTGTGTGTGTGTGTGTGTGTGTGTGTGTGTGTGTGTGTGTGTGTGTGTATGAGGTGAGGTCCATTAAGGATAAGAGGTGCATTAAATGATACTCTACAACAACGGCTTGGCCCCAAAATGAAAGACTGGACCCGACCCTGCATGTGTAAAATACGTACGCAATTGCTCGCAAGCAAATGTACGTAAGATATAAAGCTTGTATGGCACAAGTAGATACGCAAAAATTCGTTCGAATAAGTCCGTAAGCAAATGTTCGTATCGTATTTAGTGTGCATGGAAAATCCTTGTATTGACAAATATCCATAATGGCATCATTTTGCATGGGGAACGTTCGCATGCATGAAGCACATATACAATTGTTCGCACACAACTTAACGTACTCAGATGTTTAAAACAGACAAAGTTGGGTGGGCAAAAATACGTACACAAAGGTTCGCTGGCAACATAGGTGTGGGGACAGCGACCGTGGGTGCGCACCATTTTCCGAGAATGATGAACGTTAAGCCTATGGCGATGGCTGGATAAAAGTGACCTCGGGGTGGTAGATGATACCTCTGTAGGGAGTGTTCAAGAACGGATCATGGTTTTGCGCGAATCATTTCTAGGTCTATCCGGCGTTATGTTTGAAAATGATGCTCACAAGCAATCTTGGGTCGGGTGTTAACAGGGTCATAAGCAAACGGGGGTGTATCAAAACGGGTCCATCAGGTGTAGCATTCACTCTGGAATCCGATTTACTTTATGCGAGCATGACTTGTTCCGTACGTCAGCTGACTTGTCACCTCCGTCAGCTTAATTGTTCCATCCGTCAGCTGACTTGTCCCGTCCGTCAGCTGACTCGTCACGTTTGTCAGCTGACTTGCTCCGTCCGTCAACTGGCTCGTCACGTTCGTCAGCTGACTTGTCCCGTCCGTCAGCCGACTTGTCACGTTCATCACCTGACCTGTTTCGTCCGTCAGCTGGCTTGTCACGTCCGTCAGCTGACTTGTCACGTTCGTCAGCTGACTTGTCACGTCCGTCAGCTGGCTCGTCACGTTCGTCAGCTGACTTGTCACATCCGTCAGCTGATTCGTCCCGTTCGCCAGCTGTCTTGTCCCGTCCGTCACCTGACTAAGTTGTCACGTTCGTCAGCTGACTTGTCCCGTCCGTCAGCTGGCTGACTTGTCTTGTTAATCAGCTGACTTGCCACGTCCATCACCTGACTTGCCACGTCCGTCAGCTTTTGTCAGTGGCGCGCTCAGGGGCGTCCGGCGAAGTCGTCCGTGGAGGCGTCGTCAGGATGGATGATAGTGGGGGAGCACATCAAATTGGGCGGGTGTTGTGTAGTGAACTTTTTGAGCCTCCAGTCACGTCCCTCTTAGAGCTTTCTTACGCAGCCCCAACTGATTCGAGTTCGTCTGGTGGTTGTCTCGACGTAAAGTTTATGTCATGAGTTTGGCTATTTATATTACCTGACCTATGCAATTAAGTGGCTCTCTACAGCATGCTCTTGTCCGACTTTTTCCATATGGCATATATGTAGCCAAAAGCTGGTAAGATCGGCTTTTTGCATGGCGAGCTGTTTGAGCCCATTTCATTAAGGAAATACTGTGATTCATTCAAGGTCAGAGAGCAACCCATTAGTAACCATTATGCCGATTATGCTCACAGGCTTGCTCACGACGGCCGTTCTCTCCATATCTACAGGTTTGTAACAAGAATGCGGCCGGGGATTAGTATCACGGGTGGAATCATTATTTGAACTGTCATCCTCGTCCGGTGTGTTAATATTAACACAACGTTTCGGTCACTTCACTCCCCGGCCGCCGCCAGGTGTTTTGGCAACCAGAAAACCTTCGGAAACATTTGCAGCTAAGACATCAAACGAGGACGATAGTCCGAGTGTTTTTTTCCGAACATGATTCCATAAATACGTTTGGATGAACATGAAACACGTCAGCTATTGGACAGCACGAAACAGTTACAGTGAAGAGCCCCAGTTGATTCGAGGACGAGGATGGCAGTTCAAATAATGATTCCACCCGTGGTACTAATCCCCGGCCGCAGTCTTGTTACAAACCTATAGATATGGAAAGAACGGCCGCCGTGAGCAAGCCTGCGAGCGTAATCGGCATTATGGTTACTAATGGGTTGCTCTCCGACCTTGAATGAATCACGGGATTCCCTGTTATGTGGGCTAATGGACAGCACGAGATACATTTTAGCTGTCGCAAGGAATTGAGACATTTGGAGGCTGCCCTGGTGTCTTAAATGTCAGCTAAAATGAAGTTTAGGAGGGGGCAAGATGCTCATTCTTCATCCGCTTCAGTCGCTTCAGCCGCTTCAGCGAGCTGCTCAGCCGCGCAAGACGGTCTGCGTCGAGACTGGCCCGCCGCACAAAGGTGCGATGCGGCACAGTCTATGCCTGTACCTGAGCTATGCCAAACATCACATGGAGCAGAGCGGTTTGGGTCGGGAGAACTCCTAAACCACGCCGGGAAACGGACCAGTGCCTGCTTTGCAAGGAATGCAATTTAAATCCGTTCGCTATAGAAAGGTATGGGGCTTTTGCTAAATTCCTCCCAATCTGCCAGGCTAACCCTGAACTCTGCCAGGGTTAGTGGCCATTGCCGGCCTGACATCTGTTTCTCGAGCATTCGTTATGAGTTGGCACATGGAAGTTTTGGAGGACAAAACGACGCATTCCGTGGTTTAAAGTCCCCATTCACGGCGGCATGTATACATTCTATGCACTGGTGCATATCTCATTTCTACGGGGACACGTTTATTTCCCGGCATGATCATTGGTAAAGATGATGATGGCGGGTGTTGATGATGACAACTCGAGTATATCATACTCGAGGTACTCGAGCACTCGAGATACGAACAGGGACACTTATTATTCAGGGCAAGGTTAACATTTTTACGTACCTGCCCGTAAAAATCTGAACACAGCTAAGCACTCAAATTTGGTCCAAAGCTGCAAGGTGCGTAGCCTATCGCAACGTCGCTGAGATGGTATGACACCGGATCTCATGTCTTGCTACTCATCGCAACAAAATTTTGGTAATGACGGACTCGGAAATGACGTCATCTGCATCTTAAAGAAGTCAGACCTTATTTCGATCCATCTTCTCACGTAACGCCTGTCCACAAACGCTGAGCACGTTTGTGATGACTGATGTGATGACTGATGACTGACTGACTCAGAGCGACTGATGTGATGATCAGATCGAACTGACGCGTGTCATGCCGCGTTCTCAGTCTTCGCTCGAGGTTTTGTTCTGACAACGGGGCCTGACACCGAGCCCGTGCCAGGTCACAGGGATCTATGTAATCGACCGGCGCTTGGCCGCCATCGTCACCATCGCCATTCCGCCATCATCTCCTAACCCCCCCCCCCCCCCCCTCTCCCCAGTCGAAGAGATGTGGTGTCCCCCGCAGTGACCATCCATTCGGCACCTGCCAACGAGAACAAACATCTGCCTTCCAATGTTCAGTACATATTTTCATGTGGAGTTTTGCTTGCCCACTATCGTCAAACGAACTCACGTTTCTGATGAGCGTTTCCGCGCGAACTTTGTGTACTTAGATAAGAGTCAAAATATTAACCTTTGCTTGCGTCCTTTTGTAAAACGAACGCTATCCCTGAATATCCTTTGCACTCGAGCATTTCGGTACGAACAATTGATTACGACAATTTCTGTACAAGCTTTTGAACCTTTTAACAATTTTGTCATGAGTTTTTTTTCTTTACGAGCCTTTTTCCGTACGATCTCTATCCATGCGTGCTTTTGCCACTTCGAAATTTTGCTGTTACGAACTTTCAGAACTGGGCACTTAATCCTGGCGAACATAAGTGACATGTATTGTTTCCTGCAATCAAGTGTCATGCCTACTTTTTCTATCTCTATTTTTGCCCGCAACGCGGCGGACCGAGCCATCCAATTTGAGGGCAGGAAGAGGGTTGGGGTGCGAAAAGGCAAAAACAAAAATTGAGCCGGGTACCAAAGGCATGTT